TCCAAAAGGGAGATGTTTTAGCTGTTCCACTTGAAACTGATGGACAAATCCTACATATATCTTCTTATTTTGTCTTTAGTGACAGGAACTGAATTGTCTGCCATAATGTCTTCCTAGAATTGGAGAGTTTCCTGCCTCTCCACATCTGAAAATAATGCCTTAATATTACATAGGCCTTTAGAGATCTTAAACTACTTAAATATTGATGTTTGACAAACTATTGATGATATTAACTGGAGAATCAAAGTTCCCTTCTTTTCAACTTTGTTCAGACATTATTAGAGTCAGAAGGCCTCTTGTGGAATTCTAATGCACATTTCATCTTTTATCTCATACAGCTTGCAGGCAGTTCCTCAATACCCTAAACTGCTTTTGCAGCAGAATGACCAAATTCTAGGCTTTGTGGTTTTTTTATATCTTTGTGGTGTGGGGGCAGTCAGCTTCTGAGAGACCACCATTCCTGATGCTCCAAAAGCCCACCCACAAAATGTGTGAGAAAAATGTATGCTTCTCCTTTAAATGACGTCATCATTGGACGACTAGGAGGCTGAAGTGGGTCCTTAAACATTGACCATCCTTGCCTTACCTTGACAGACATATTGTGAATGTCCAGGCAGAAGGAAATACGTTGGTGGAAAGCAAGCTGGGGCTCCCGGGTGGAATATATGTCAGTCATCTCCTTTGACTGGACATACCCTTTCTCATGGTTAATGCTAGCTTCAATCACACCATCCCGAATAGCCTGGGAATCAAGGCACAACAATAGTTAGGTGGCCCTCCAATGGCAACTTAGAAGAGCAAGGCAAAGAAGTATCAGAGAAAGCTTTTCACAGCTTGTTTGGGAAAAGAACTTTTAGAAACAGGTTACTATCTTCTGAACAGTCCAGATGCAGAGTTGCAGACTTAAGTGGTTTGCTAATGGAAAGGAAGAATTATCCAATTCTATGTCATTAATACCAAAGGCATAATATGATGCCAGGAAGTAAAAACAGACAAAGGATAAAGCAATCAGTAACAGCTTTTGAACACTTTATTTTGGGGTTTTCCAAATAATCAAGACCCAAAGTAAATTTCTCTGTCACAAAGACTGGCACCAAATGGCTTTCAAGTGCAACCCAGTGGCTCCGGATGTCTGAGAGAAGATTGTAAACTGTACAGTTCCTCACCTTGGCAACAATGAATTCAGCATCCTCTGGGCTATCTAATTGCAACTTCTGAGCTATATCAGCTAAGGATATACGTGAATACGAAAGGCTGATCATGCGAACACCTAAATAAGAGTTAAAGAAAACCAATGAGAAACTTTAAGAAAGCTTTTAATGGAGACCCCAATCCCGGGGATTTGAAAAGATTCTGTGAGAATGAATGACCA